TGGTTTAAAACCATCAACCGATGGTCGCTGACATTTATGCTCACCTTTGCTGTTATCTTCTTCTCTGTTGAGATGCATGACTCTTCTTACCATGTACTCATTTAGGCTGTTAGATTAACTCTTAGTCCAATGTTTGGATTTGTGGTCCTTTTGCCCGCTTATTTTCTTGTTCGGCTGGCACGCATGGACGCGCCTGCACTTGTGCGTCCTCCTCCCTGTGGTGCTGGGTGAAGTAGGTAGTCTAGGTGATGTTGTGTGTATTTTGTGCTCTCTCTCTCTCACTTTCTCCCTCTGTGTCTCTCAGTCTCTTCTTCTCTGAGCCCAGAGACGCTCAGAGGGATGGTCGCAGCGAAGGTTTTAGGGAGGAGACGGCTGGCAGACGGGCGGGGTGACGTGAAGTAAGTCGGTAGGAGGTCGTCTACTCAGCTGAGGCGAGGAATCCGTGCGCTCCGGAGAGATATTTTGCGCACACTTTCCCTCAGAAACTACACATTTATGAGGAGCTCAAGATGTCAATTTAGGATAAATATATTTGAATATTCACTGTGCATAGTTGGTATTGTTATAGTCCATTGTCGATGATATTAAGAACAACAGAAATACGCCCATGGCTATACAGCTTTCAGGCTAGTTTTAGCCATCAATTTTGATAATAGTGGTTATTTTTTTATAGACAGCCTATTCTATTGATGTATACAGTGGCTATCGCTTGCCTCTGCTCTGTGACATGAAAAGAGCACAGGTGAAGGCAGAAGTAAACAATTCTGGTAATATGAACCAGAAATGAAATGACTTCATATTTTTCACTATCAGCCCTCATCATCAATCATCCTTAGACCGGTGCTTTCAATGTGGAAACAACAATCAATGGGATTTACGTGTGCATATCTGTGCATAAATATGCCTTTTTACGCACAAGTTGTAGCCTACACGTTTCACCTCTAATTCAAGGGTTGAGCCTCTATCGAGCTTTTCATTCGTGTCAGTGTCACGAGCAGCCTGCATGCTTTCATTATGATCATCATGCCTATACAGCCAATAGGCCCATACAGTCGATAAGGCACATTGACTCACCAGCCACGTTCGCCCAGAGCCACGCGCGTAACATGGCTCACTGGCGGTCCCTAGCGTTACACATCAATCAATGGCAGGCGGCTGATGGGGGAGATCCACCCTCCCATCCATTATAACAGGCTGTTACATATACAACATGGACCAGTTTCAAAGTAGTATTTTGTTGTTTAAAATGCTATTTTCAACCTCTTTGCAGATGGGTATTTATAACCTTTGACTAATAAAACATACAATGCCCAGTGTTTCACTAGCAGTGCAAGTAAATGGGTATGATATAACAAAACTTGATAATATAATAATCATTATGAAATATGATATATTCTAGGAGATTTGGGAGTGACAAAAAAGTATTTTCAAACTCATTGGCTTTGAATTACACTTTCTATACAGGCATGTGCCTCAAAAGGTCTTCTTTAAGCGGGAAGAAAATATTCTCCATCTCATTGGTTTGTATTTAATGTTGTGTTTGTTGTTGTGCACCATTGGATTCATCAATTTAGTATTCAGGCAATTATTGTTAGAAAAAAATGTGGATAGGTAAGAGAAACTTCGTTTATATTAGGTTCCCTAATTTGCATTGTAAACAGCTTGCTATATAAGATCTATAAGATCTGGGATTTATCACAAAGCTTATTTATTTTAGAGCAAACTTCCTCTTGAGTTTTAACCTCTACAGTTAAAAACAACTGTAGAAAGTGATCCATGCACTTCTTTAAAAGCCTTTAGAAACATGCTTTGTTTGCATCTCTGAGTAAACGGACCTTATCTGACTGACATAAAGATGATTTCTGGGAAAGAAAACATCCCAATGCTGGATTATTGTGCTTTACAGCTCAGTACCAGTTCAGTGCTCTGCTATGTTGAGTCTCCTTTACACCTTTGTTCCTTTCTATCTGCCTCTCAGATTTCTGTCTGACACCTCTCCTGTGATAGCAGCTCTGACATCTTGTGTTAGTTTTTTGCATCTGTGTAAGGCAGATAGTCTTCTGTTTTAGTCTCACTGGTTGTACTTTGGGATAAGTGGGGATTCGATTCGATTTTTTGCATACACAACGAAATCATCCCTGAAAAGTGATGCTCTCTCTTTGTATCAGACATAAGACACAAACTGTTTTTTCTTGTTCCGAGCTTCTCATTGCATCAGCTTTCTTTCTTTCCCTCACTTTTTCTTCAGACTATCTTTGTGATGAATTTTTATTAGCCTGTCACAGTGTCTTCTTTGAGCTTAAAACATCACATTCATCAGCATAACTCGCACCATGCTTTAATCCTCCAGGGGTTTTCAGTGATTTTGCGTAATTTCTAAAAGATTTGCTCAGTGTGTGGGATGTTGTTTTCAACCCATAAAAAAGAGGTTAATAAGCACTCACAGATTCCAGGTAATTTTAAAACCATTATATCTCAATAGACTCCGTAGTTATAAGATTTAAAAAGCAACACAGCTAAGGAAGCATAGCAATCTTGGGAGAAATGCGTTGTATTATTGGAGCATAAAGGCCTTAGATAAGCACAAAAGAGGAGGGTCTACAAATATGTTGGTAACATATCAAATATATCCAGTATATACATTCTCCTCCAAGTTCTTGTACCTTTGTTTAAACTCTGACAAATGAGCAGCATTTTATCATTAGATTAACTTTAACATTGACACTTTCACTATTTTTTGGAGATCTAATAGCAGAAGCATATCTTGAGATGGTTCTGTGAAGTTTGCTCAAATAAAAAAAAACGTTAAGCAGCAAGTTGTGGTTTCAAACTGTTTCTTATGTATTTTGTCTTATCTGTGTTTTGTTTTTATCTGACAATGAGTTGCAATCAATTGTATAAAAAAATACATGATCTATTTCCATTCCTTCTTCTGATGAATGACCAGGAAAAGATTTGACTGTTGACACATAGTGCAAAAAGCAGTACAATGAACTTGCGCTATTAAGAATAGATGAGAAAACAAGCAGATATGTAACGACTTATTGAAAATAAAGATAACATTCTTTACCCTCCACCAACCCTTAAATAGGTGTTTTTTAATTTCTTAATAAAATCTTCCCTCTGACATTTGTTCACCAGAAGAATGGGGGAAACTGGGAACTCAAAATCGTTTAAATGTAGAGGTATTTAGATATCAAGTGAAAACTGTCAGACAAGAGATTGTTGTCCAGGAAGCGGTTCTTCCCAACATTTCTGGAAAAGTACTGTTCCCCGAAACTATAATGTTTCAATTCAGCACAGACATTTCTTCTAAAGCTTTTCATTGAATCAATTAAAAGAAATGGGAAAAAATAAACAAAAGAGGTTTGTAGAAGATTGAAGGGAAATATGATGCACACCAGTTATCTGCTCAATTAATCTTAACTATCGTAGCAACTGTGTGTGGGGGAAACTTCGGAAGCAATTGGAGACAGGACTCAGAGAGACACGAGGAGAGCTGGAGCTTTGAAGGCAAACACTGAAGGTTTATTTGGAGCTTCGGCCGGAGAATTCACACCACATGTCACGGGCCACGAGTTGACCACATCAACATCTCAACACGGTTGAGATGCCACAATCAATTCTGAAGAACTCTACCCCAGACCCATGTATTTAGCTAGTTCAGAGAGAATAATCAACATTGTGCATAACAAGATAGAATCATAACACCTCTATCAGCTGACGCCAACAGGCAGGAACAGGGAAACAAAACACTGAGAGCACAGCAGCCAAGCTTACAGGTGCCTGTGCTCAGTCAGGACAGTATGAACTGATAAACTGCGTCAAAGTTATGGGCCTTGGAAAATATTTCCCCAACACTGTGTGTGATGGTATTAGTCATAAAGCATATGACTGGATATGATTGATATATGCATTTATTTATATTGACTGTTAGACATCCCAAATTACATATTTACTATGGGTAATAATAGTCTTCATTAAAAGGAAGTATGAGCAATTAACAAAGATCATTTAAATTATATTTTTGTCCCTGCCATCAACAGTCTTCGTAAACACATTATTGTATCTCCTGTTTGACTAAAAGTTAAATACTCTGTCACAACTTAAATAAGACCCATTCTGTGTAATGCCAACAAGCGGGCTTTCAACAGAGCAACATGTCCCTATAAAGTAAGTACAGCTTAAGCAAACAGGCTCTCATAACATGTTGTGTTCTTTGTCTCAATAAACCTCACCCTATTTTGCAACAGGACTAGAACAATCAAAGCTTCTTCAGTGAGTATTGAACACAACATTAAATAAAAAAATAAAGAAATGTAGAACGATCCATTATCACTAGAAAAAAGATGGGTCATTTATTCAACATAAGAAAATATGTGTCTGTTTTTATGACAATGGTTGATGTTTGTAATATAAGTAAAAATAAGGATATTAAACAAAACCCCTATGACTTTTCTATCAGGACCTCATGGTACATAGCAAAAATCTGTACCTTGTGATTCATAGCTTGAGTTATAGTTTACTTGCAATTCTTTTTCAAAAATTAGCTGAATTTCTGAGGAAAAAATAAGCAAAAGCATTCGTCAAACATTTGGGGAGTGGAAGTTTTGAGACGAACTAATACTAATACAAGCCAAAAGCTCGACAAGACATTTTTTAAAGAAGTTACTCTCCACACTATGTTTTCATAGTAGTTGATTGTTAGTTTTTTTTAAGAATTTGCTCGGGGGTAATACGAATATAATGTTTTCATGAAAGGTCAAGTGGTACTGTAGTGAGGGGGAAGGGAAGAGATGACATAGTATCTTTTTATATTGTTGTTTACATAAAACTTGTCCCTGCCTTTTGTGTGTGTAGTTGCACAACTAGGAATACCCTCAGTGTGTTTGTTAGATTTTTCTTATCTCAAACTGGACCCCACATGGTCAGAAATGTCCATTATTGAGAAATCCTACCACCCAACTGAATATAAGTAGAGTCAAATGAGTACTACTATTCAGTGGCTACGATCTGATAAGACTTACTGGACACTCAACAGGAAAAGCAAAGTAAGTTTGACACATCTGAAAATATAAAGGTACATATGTATTTATTGGTTTAAATAATTGTAACATTTTCTTTTAGACAGCTGGAACCATGAAGTTGCTTATTGCAGGAATTGCTCTGTTCTTCATTGTGGAAACCAATGCAAGGTGGATCAACTTTCCTATAGAAGCCATTCAAGGTTAGAAACATTACTTTTTAAGATCTCTAAAAAACGATGTGAATAATTTTACACCATATATCTAGGATTTACAGTTTGAAATGTCAATGACATGTTTTTTTTATTTTATTTATTTATTTATTTTTATATCTGGATTCTTTCCTTTATCTGACTGTACCCGGTGGTCCTGACCAGGAGCTGGTGATATGGGGAGGGCATACATTGATATGAGGAAGGCCAACACGATAGGCGCAGACAAATACTTTCATGCCAGAGGAAACGCTAATGCTGCCAGCAGAGGAGAAGGAGGCAAATGGGCAGCTGAGGTGATCAGGTGAGGAGCAAAGTGTAGGAACACATCTTCTTATACAATGTTGGCTGTTTCTCTTAGTTTTTTTCTAAAAATGAAAACATTCTTGTTTGTAAAGCAGCAGATTGATCAAAGAGCACATTTTTTCTCTACATTCTTATCTTATATATTATCTTTTACATTATTATTTATCGATATATAAGGGAGGCTGTGGCTCAGTGAGTTTGTGCACTGATCTTCAGATCAGGAGACCACTGGTTCAATCCCCACTGCAGTCAGCAGGCCGCTGTGTCCCAGGCCAAGACACTTCACCGCAAATTGCTCCTGTGGATTGCCCACAGTATTGAGTGTATGTAATTCGCTTTGGATAAAAGTGTCTAACAAGTGACCTGTAAAGTCAAATCGTTGATAAAGTATTCAGTACCTCAGTGATCATTTTCTATCCATTCATAATTGATATGCCATCCCATTATTAAACGGCTTATTTCTGATGTTCTTTGCAGCTGACAACCAGATCTGTGTATCATTTGTACACAATCATATGCAATAAATAACTAATATTCGGGCCTACCTTAATGACGCTCCATCTCATTAACATATAGATGCATTTGCTAAACATTTTAGATCCAGTTTCTTCCCAAAAAGTGGCTCCGCTCTGCTTCCTGCAGCTTTTCACAGATCCAATCCAAATGTACAATTATACCTACTGCAATTATACTTATTATTGCCTAAGACCATAACACCTTTGTACACCTTGCTTGCTCAGACAACCACAGTCTTTTTTTTACCGAACTTGTTTTATTAATCAGTTCATTCTGATGTACATTGTCTATGTTTCCATTTCAGTAATGGCAGAGAGTGGGTGCAGGAAAAAATGGGTCATGGTGCCGAAGACTCTGCTGCTGATCAGAGGGCAAATGAGCATGGACGCAACGGAGGAGATCCCAACGTTTTCAGACCAGCAGGACTTCCTCCACACTATTCATCTGAAAGTCATGAGGATGAATAAAAGAACAAAATTATATTTTTTGTTTGGGAGTTATTGACAAAGACAGAGTTTTTACACAACAAACATTAACATGTACATACACCATTAAATACATTTTTATTTGCAAACATCAGAAACGGTTTATGACCATCCATACCCAATTGTGAAAGAACACAAACGAAATTATCAAAACTGAACATTAAAATGTTTTCAAAGGCAGTTCAGAGAGAGATCCGCATGGGGTGCTTTAAGAGCTGTTTACGTACATTTATGATAGTAGTGATACTGTAAGTCCAAAATTAATTTAATTACATTATCTAAGTCTATAGAAGGCTATACTGAATGGATAAATAAACAAACAATGAAGCAGGGCGAATATCATTTTTCCCTGGATAGTGAAAAAACAGCAAAATCATTAACCCTTATGTTGTGTTTGGGTCTCCCGTTTCAAGTTAAAATTATATAATAACTACCCTCTAGTTTTGATTATCGGAACAAGGCTTCATGATATCCTCCACAACAGCTATATAAACACTACAAAAATATTTTTACAATTTTAGCCAAGTCTGAAGGTCTCAAAAAAAAAGTGTATAATTTGGTGTTCAGGTCTGGGAAGACCCAGCAGAATTGTTGGGGGTGACTCTGGGTCAAATTTGGCCCAATCAAGATTCATCTTTGACTTTAGACACCCCACCCCCACCCACTTCCTCCACTGTAACAATCATTTTAAGTCTATTAAAGGTGGGGTAGGTAATTTTGGAGAAACCAGCTCGAGTGCGCGAGAATTTGAAAATAGCCCCTCCTCCAACACACACGAATGCGCACATGACCAATGAGGGCATGGGATACATTTGTGCAGAGATGGAAGGCTGACAGGCAGGTAGGCCATCCAGTTATTTTAGCCGGGCCGGCTAAAATGATTGGTCGTGCTTTTTACAGTATTACGGCTTCCACAGATGACATTTCTTTATGGATTTTTTGTCAAAGCACTTAAGATATTCATTGCTATCGGGATTTTAAGAGCATTCCATGGAATATAACAAAAAGTGTATCTCGAGACGGTTTCTCAAACTTACCACCTTTAAGTCAGATAACATCATTATCCACTGTCTTCACTATAGGGAATATAATGAGTGAATTTAATCACATTCTTTACTTAAATATGTGGTGTGATTTGTTTTGGGGCCATAACATAAAATTACAACAGGATTTTACGGTTATGAATGCATAATAAGTTAGTTATGACAATATTGGATGATAGTCATTATTTTGGAGTGTTTTGGACTGAGATAAATCGTGGGTCAAAATTGACCCGCGAACACCATGAACGGTAACAGTTTTTGAACACAACACAAGGGTTAAATGATTATTGGAACATAATTGTCCATGACAAAATGTTTGGGCAAATTCATTTGTATACAGTATATGCCCATAATGGGCTAACTATGTTGTCATATGGTGGACTAATACAATTTTCTTTTAGTTAAAGTGGACCTATCATGCTATATTTGAATAATATAGTGTAGGACCATACCTATTTAAGGCATATTTATACTTTTTTTTTTTCAAAATACCAAACAGATCATGCATTTTAGCCATGCCTCATTTCGCTCAATTTGACAATTTCTAGCTCTGTTTTTGCAAGGGCTGATTCTGTGAGAACAGCACCATCTACTGGCCTGGCATATGTACTACAGCGTCTCCAGCGCTTTCGAACGGCAATGGCCGTGGCTGTCTCCTCCTGATTGGTGGAGTTGGCCCAATAGCCGTAGCGCCACTGTCCTGACGTCAGGACAGTGTTCAAATCTGGATCAGTTTTTATCAGATCCGTTGCAGCCCCTTTTTTAGATATTTGGGTATGGAGGAAAATAGAGAGGGTTGTGTTTTCTGACACTTGGTGAGTTCCCTGGAACACCGGGGACACATATTCATGTATAGAAGACGTACAAAAGTACATTTTGCATGATAGGTCCCCTTTAACTTAACCATGCACTCTTCAATTGAAAACCCAATATGCTGCAATGAAGAAGGTCAATTAATCAAATTAGTTTTACCGCTTCTTTATATTTGAGCATTTTTGACGTTATTGCCATATTTTGACTTTTTTAATGTAAAATGAGAACAAATTCTTTTTTTTTTAAATAATGCTGCCATTCAGAGGGATTAAGTCTGATACTTTGGCATTTGTGGATTTAATGTGTCTGATTTAACCCTTCTCTTGCGTCAAAAGTGACCGAGTGACTTTGTTTTTGATCATAAATAATGTTTTTCATCCAATTGCCTCAAGACCTTAAGTTATCCTCCACACTAGGCCTCTGAACATATACAATTGATGATCACCACTTGCATTGATTTTTTAGTGATTTATTCAACAGTGAAACACCCATGATGTTTTCGGTCAGAATTGACCGCCATAGGAAATTAATGGGTATGAGTGTATTACAGTATGTTGATCCTGCAGATGGAAAACATCTCCACACACACACACACACACACACACACACACACACACACACACACACACACACACACACACACACACACACACACACACACACACACACACACACACACACACACACACACACACACACACACACACACACACTTCTAGTGCTTATGTCCCCCCACACCTTCCAGACAAAACAATTTACTCTAAGTTACGGGAACCTCTCACTTTCTCGCGCTGTATGCCCCTCCATTACTGTCTCTCATGCAGTTATATTTGTGCCTAGCTCACATTTGACTCATTGACACAATGAGTAGGCGACCGATTAGGCGATTTTCTGTCAGAGAGGCTCTGCACAAATGTTTTGAACCAGATGAAGACGAGATTGAACCAGACATAGAGGACGATGTCTCAGAAATGGAAGACAACAGCGATCCAGACTATGAGCCTGACCAACAGTCGACAGACCAGGAAGAGGCCCCTGAGAGGAGCCCTGAATATTTATTTTTCTCCAAATGTTCATTGAGGAAAACAGTATCAGTGTCTTATTTTATATTCATCACAGTGAATGCAGTGAATGCTGAACTTGATGGGCCCACCGGTGGGTCCGGACCATATACTGTAGTTGAAAGTACACAATGAAACACTGACTTGCTTGTATCCAATCAATACATCTCATACATCATTGGAACGGGAAGACTCTCAGCTACAACACCAACTAAAGCATTTCCATCTCCAGTAAACACAGCCTACATGGCAAGCATTTTTATAATATACAGTAATGTACAGTAAGCACTATCTTTGAACTTACTGCAAAATTATAACATGAAATTCACCCCTGGTGTCATTCTGTCTGTCACCCCTTGATTCTACTTGCTTTGACTGTTCAAATGAGATGTCAACCATCAAAATTGGATAAGGGGTTCCAGAGATATCACTGTGCAAAACACACCAGTCAATTTTGACCGAAAATAGTATGGGAAGGGGGGTATGACCTAACGCAAGAGAAGGGTTAATCCCATTCTATCTATGGTCGTGATTAGTTTTTCATTCAGCTGTAATGTTGAATGATGGCCACTGGGGAGCAGTGCTGCGTTGGTTCCCTGACATTTTAGGCTGAGATGCTTAGAGGTTATCTTTATTGTGGATTACTTTGATCCAATGATAATACATTTTCTTTCTCTATTTCTATATCTCAGCCTTGTAAATTAAGTTCCTAAATGAAACAAATGAATGGCATCAAACAGGTGACTCTGGATAATCAAAAAACCCTTTGAGTGAATATCCTTTTTTCATTCTTGATCATTTTGAAAAACTTGGTAGTGATTTTAATATTCCTAATCTTTAGAAAAGGTCATAGGCACTCACACCCACACAGTTGATATAAGGATGATTACAATTAAAATCATGAAGCTACCAAACTCAATCTACACAAAATAATTATGAATATGAAAGTTGACACAGTTGTACATTAACAGAAATATTGAAGATGTCATTTATGTACATTCTGTTCACACCAACAACTCTTGAGAATGTGTTTCACACCTGTGGGTGATGGAGAAAAATATCCAATTTGACAAGTTCAACTTCTTTTTAAGGAGGTAGTAAGATGCAGCATTTTGACCATAAAATATATTTTCTCAATCATATATATTTCTATATTTTTTATATTGATTAGTAGATCTTTTTTTGATCTATATATTTCTTCTGAAGTAGGCCATTGAACAAGGTGAGGAGATGAGGTCACTTCCGGCTGCCATCTTTGTTAGGTTTATTCTAAATTAAGTGGAGAGATTGCCGTAGTAAAATATTGTTTTTATTGTTGAGCAATGGCACATTCCCTTGCTCGAAAGAAGGAGTCTCTGGGAAATCTAGACTTTTGTATTGAGTCTGTTAATACAACTTGCGCGGTTTGGCTTTTAGCTAGCACCGGCTCTTTATGTAAGCTAACGTCAGTTAATGCTAGGTAACGTAGCTGCGTGAGTTCATGCTGGCTAACGTCAGTTAATGCACGTGGAGACTTGGCACATTGATTGCTATTGATTGCTAGTTTATTTATCTACAAACAGCAAGCTGGATTGATCTGTCTTCCGTATATTGTTCTATATTGTTCTCGCATGGTTACTACTTTTCCATCTTGGATTTAAATTAGTATATTTTTCGCTCTTGTTATTGAACATTTGGTTGTGTTTAAGCCTATTGCTGTTTGGTTCACTGTTCATGTGTTTTAAAGTAGAAAACAAATCTAAAAGAAATAGCGCAGATTTACAATATACATTTTTTATTTAACTTGCTAATACCGACGGGCCAGTTGTGTCTGTTATATTTTTCATATAATACGGTAACGGATTACTCTTTCTCCAGAGTACCGGTGTATCTGTCGCTGCTCGGGCGGGGTAGCTGCAGTGGGCTGATATGTGTTATACTCGTTCCGGGGCTGGAAGCACCGAGCTCCGTACGCTTTCTGTCCGTGAGACACACACTCGAGTGATGCGCGAACAGCCAGCACCATCCTTTACAAATCCAAAAAGGAGGTGACTTGATCAGCATATGTTCTCCAGGTAAGACATATTTTCCTTCGTATTAATCATTGGTAAACATCGATGGATGCTCAGTAAGCGAGGCTGTAGTGGTCCTCCTCCCAGGCACCGTACGGAGCACGGAGCGGTGCATGGATGCTGATCTGCCCAGCCTGTGGATTTGTGCTCAGCATCACTGTTAACAACAGGGCGGTGAGCTTTGAGCGAAAACGGTTATTGCTTTAAAAGTCTGGCATTTTATCCAGGCATTATGTATTCCTGATATGTTATAAGATCGGGTTGGACATCTGTACACACCTAATGCTACAATTATCGGTGATTCATACATGCGCATTCAGTCTACGCCTAAAATGATCGATTGTAGTTATTTTGCTATAGGCCTTTAGTGTCCCATGAGATGGGAAAGGTCATTAATGTTTTACACCTGCTTAATGGTCCAATTCCTATTCTGCATCGTTTTATTAAACGACACCTCATGTATGCTACTCAGACCTCTCCTTGTGGTGATGGCAAATACAATCCTATCTACTTATTTTCTTTAATATTACCTACCCTATACTTGTATAACATTTCAAATATGATTCAGTTAATCTTGTCCATGAAAAAATACTGAAGTTGAGAAGAGTGTAAGGTAAGCTACACACTCCTGCATCTAAGCCCCCCACATCTCGCCTCTGCTGAGAATACAAGTTGTTTAAGTGCTAAACGTTGTGCAATGCTCGTAGGTGTCTAAAGCCTATATTGGGTGGAGGGCTTGTGTGTCCTTTAGTGCCTGCTGTGTACTACTCTGTGCCAGTCCCGGCCACAGGGGAGGGCAGCTGCTGACAGGCGATGTGTCTGGCTCTTCATTGTTCACAGGGAGCAGGGGACAGGCTCACAAGGTCTGCAGTTTTATGTCCTTAGCTTCTGTCCTCCTCCAGTCATGCGGGATCCATTTCAGTGCCCATCTTCCACTTGTATGATGTCTTTGGACTGTCTGACATTTACAGATCAAGTCTTGTTTTGTTGGTTTCTTGCATAACATACATGTCCCTGGAGTTGGCACCACAGTGGAATACACAGTACATGCAGGCTTCATTAGGTTCATAGTTGTGGTGCAAGGCAAGACTTTTGTGTTTATTCGCACATTTAATTAATTAATTTGTTGATGTACTTGTACACTTTCATTCTGATAGAATAAAGTCAAAAGTAACGTTATTAATAGAAGATTGCTGAGAATAAAAACCCACATTGCAGTATATTTATTCATCTCCATACACCCAATATCATGTAGGCAAAAAAAGGTGTAATCGATTGAATCTTTTTCTCCTTTAAAAATGATCTACTAACCTGAATCTGTATATTTCTGTAAAACTCTGATGCAAACAAAGATGTAGAAAGGGGTCTGTATTGTGGGGAGTAGAGAGAGAGAACAAAGGCTGAGATGCAGCTGAGGTAGAGGATGATGACCTGCCCTAGAGGAGTGTAATGCATGGTTTTTAGAGAAACTGAAGGGCCCCTGGAGAGCCATGATGAAAACATATAAGCCATGATGGAAACCTATAAGTTCTTGGAGGATGCATCCAATATTTTGCCATGTGAGGATGATATGTTTTTATTTTCCTACCTCTTCTGTCTATGTCTTCCTCTGCACTGTCCTGTCTTTGAGTCACCTGATTTGTCTCCAATAGTCAGGGATAGTTTTCTGTATAGCACCTGCACTAAAGGACAAACACCCTCCCTGCAGCCTGCTGGGATCTTATTCCCGCTGCTGGCAGAAGAAGCTAAATTGAACTCTGGGGGAGGAAACTCAATAGGGACGGAGCCTCCAGCAATGCTTCACACATTTTGAAAAATAATAACTATCTGGATATGTATGATTTAAATCAATAACCTTTCAAGAGCATTCATCTAAATGCACTTGTTAAGAGAGTCTTGGCTAAACAAAAAATGTCCTTTAGCTGCCTTAGCGTCGTTGATGGCAGAGCAACAGGCAAATCATTATATATTACATAACATCTTTAAAGCTTTTCTCTATAAGCTATGGATTTCTGTATACCAAAAATGAACATTCTCTACTCTGTTCATAACATTAGTGAGGGCGGATACAACACTAGTTTGCCCTTTGGCAAAAACAAAAGATCCTGAGATAATAAAACCTACAGGGCTACAGGTAGGTGTTGATTTTCATGTTGCATAAAACTGTTAGAAAGGCAAAAAGGCAATTGAAACGATGATTAATGATGAGGCTTTTGTGAGATAAGTGGTGCTGCAGTGTTGCTACAGACAACTGTTTTGCTGTTGAGGGCTTTGTGTGAGCAATTAGAGGGAGCACATGTCAGTTGAACACAGGATTGAGTATGTAGAGGACAGGCTGTGAACCGCTGCTGCTGTGTTAACTAGAAAACTGGGACATGCTGAGGAATTAAAATTGAGAGGGGCTAGGTATATTTCACACTTCAGAGCTTGTTTGTTAATCCGTAAAAAAAAATGGTGTAAATGTTTACCTTATAGTTACAGAGGAAACTGCTGTGGTGGTGCATATGAATAATATATTTGTATTAATCAAAAGTTGCTTGTTTTTGGGATAATTCGATGAATTATTTTCCTTTTTATCAAATATCATTACATTTTCAAATTACAATTACAATCACCATTTATCCCACAGCCCAAAGTGTTATTGTTAAGTGCATGTTTAATCTTATACAAACATTGAACAAATGTGTTTAGTTACATTTATTTGAGAAAAATCCTTACATTTGAGATGCTTAAACCAGTAATTATTTAGCATTTCTCCGCATGACTAACAAAATGTTTTTATAATATCAAAGTTGATTACATTTCTATTGTCCAACTATTCAACTGATGTTTTCAGTTTAAATAAATGCCCAGTTTTGGACTTTAGACTCTAGTATCTGCAAAAAGCAAACAGTCTCTAAAACAGGATCAGGCAACATCTTTTGCAATTCTTCTTACGAGTCTACAGCCTCATATATTTTGTTGTTTTTGTTGTGAATGTAGGGTGCATTGCTACGCATTAGAAAATATTCCTAAGAGCATCATGGCTGCTGTCATGTTGTCCTTTGAGTTGTTCCATTATTCATCATCTGTGGAGGACTTATCTCACGATGACATCACCACTACAGTCTCTCACTGCAGCTCAGCTTCATAAACCAAAACAGCTCAACAATATTGTAGACATCCGATACAATTACTGTCATTTATGGATTTAGGTATATTAATTGTAACGGTCACATGTTATTGTACAATTCCTTCTAAGCTCTCACATCCCCTTAAATTATTATTTAATGATATTAACCTGATTGATAATCTCCCTGTCTGTGGTGACTCTGTGTCTAAATGCAGATGGGAAAACTCTTAACATTTTCCACTTGTAAAATATCACATCCAGACGAGTGTGCTGCCTTGTCAGGGGTATTCTCTCTTTGTAGTTTCATGTGGAAGTCAGCCATATCAAGCTCAGTTCAAAATAAAACCTAGGCAGAAACCTTTTTACGGACGGATAGAGGATCAGGGGAGAGAAAGAATTCAGAGCTGACTGAAGCATTTCACCTCTGCACTTCATGTCCCGATTGGAAATATGCTGAACCTTGCAGACAGTACTGGTTGTGTTTCATAAGGTAATTTAAAAAAGCACTGTAACCTTATATATCCACAGAGAAAGTACTTTGGGTCATCATCTTCAAATGCACAGCTTTGCTTGCTGTTCTGTTTGCACTGTAAGGTCTTACACCTTCTGGTTTTCAGCCTGTTGGCAGCTGTTTAGTTTAAACTTTTTTCTCAAGATTTATAGTTCAGTTTTTCTGGTTCACCCTTGGCCTTGGTTACAGCATCACTACTTAAAGATGTAAGGTAATTCGGCTGATGTTGTTTTAAATATCCACATTATATAATACATTTCACATTCTTCTACACAGGTGACCCGTGTATTCAAACATGTATCAAATGGGCCAAGCTACATTTACAGTCAGTTGTCTCTACAGCATGAATAACCTAAAGAGTCTGGGTCAGACCTTGTTGTCCAGCTCTTGACATTGTTTTAGTATCACACACATGAATATGACAGCCATGCAGTCTAACTCTATTTGTTTTGATAGTGCTGTCTTATTCGCTTTCAGTTGTTCCTTGAAAGTGGGATCTAGAGTACATTTCTGCCTCTGTCATGCATTTATTTATAAACCCACACAACACTACTTTGATTTGGAGAGAAAGCCATCGCCTATAGCTTTAATCCACTGGATGCCATTGATCTGAGAGGTCAAGCGTTTTTTTTGCTGAAGTGTTGACTTTTGGCCTTCGGGGTATACAATGCTACTTTTGCTCTTTACTAACAGTGAAAGGAAACATGAGAAAATACTTGTTACATTCTGTCGGAAATGGTGATATATTTTTTCATTGTTTGGACCGTCTTTAAAATACACGGTATACACTGTAAATATTTTCAACCTGTGGTCTAAAGCAGCTGATACTGTGGTCAACTTCTTACCCTGGTCGGTTTTTAGCTTTATGATGATAACATCTTTAAATATGACTGCAGATTTCTACAGTATCATGTCATCTCATACTGTAACATGCTGTGCTGAGCAGGGACTTTGTCCAGTTGCATTGTTGCGTGACGTTTACTAGCAAATACATTTTTTATTTGGTTGCCAATTGTCATGCTGCAACTTCAACAAAACCACCTTTGCTCAAACAATGGTCTTCACTATCCTAGAGGCACATAGGGATGTAAGGCCTATAAAATATGTTATTAAGATAAATTAAACCAACACACTTTTAAAAATAATGGAATCACCTGTCACAAACCTTCACTGCATGGGTGGTCAGATGGCACATGGGACTGCTCAGTGGCGTAACAAGGTTGTGATTGGCCCCGGTGCAAATATTGTTTTGCACCGCCTCTGCACCGGTTGCACCGTCGATAGTTACGCCACTGGGACTGCTTTATATTTTTGAATGGGTTTAATGCGTTAGGGTGTAAGAAAGTCAGAACAAAACTCTTTACATAGTACAACCAAAAT